AGGCCCTGGACAGAGGGGGCAGGAGCACAGATGTGCAGCTGGGAGGCCCTGGCTCGCTGGGTTTGAGGGAGCCCTTCTAAGAACAACAGGCTTGCTCTTATCTTCATTCTAGGGTCCCTTCAGTTGGGGGCTCAGTCTCACCACCAGCAGCCCTAACAGCCCAGGGGCCTCTACTCTTTCTGCTCCAAAGGTGGCCATGCCCACCACCGGGTCCATTTCTTCTCCATGTTCCACGCCCTCTTGCCCTCATAGCATGTGTCTGCCTCATTATGGGCCCTTCACTCCCAGGGCCCTTCAAGCTCTGCCACCCTGGTGTCCCTGTTCTTCCTCCAGTCCCTGAGGTAGGGCCCTCTCCGCTGCCTGCTCAGACTCCTTCCAGCTCCACCCAGAGGCCCAGCCCTGGGTCCTGCAGGTCCAGCTCTGCCTCACTGTGTGGGAGAGAGGTGGACATGAGATCACACAGGGTCTGGGAAGTCGCTGTTCAGATTTCAGTCCTCCCTTCCCAGCCTAGAGGCTGGAGCTGCCCTGAGGGACCCACAGCCCTGCGTCTGGGCCTGGAGGCAGCCTGTACCCTACTATAAACAAGCCTTAGGAACTCTCATGGCAGGGCAGTTCTGAAACCCACACACATTGTCCTCCCTGCTATACCGTCCCATGTCTGGACACTGCTCCGGCTCAGTTGCACCGTCCACAGCTACCACAGCCACAGCCAGGGTCCGAGGGCCCTTCCCCTTCCATATCCCACCCCAGCAAAGGGAAACCAACTAACAGGTCTCTCCTCCAGGACCTGTGTCCTTAGCCAGAGCAGCGAGCAGGACGTCCATAAACAGCAGGTCTGTTTGGGACAGGGGTCTCAAAGCCCTTCAGACAGACTGCTGAGGCGGGGCTAGTGTCTGAGGCAGCCAGCGGCTGAGAGAAGGGGTCTTTTGTCCTGCTCCCCAAAGAGGAAGCGCACTGGGCTCATGCAGGTGCGGGCGGGCGGCGGCCCTGGTGGCCAGGCCTCTCTGAGTGACAGGAATGTGGCTGTCAAGCCAGGAGGTGGTGATGGGCCTGTAAGCCCTGTGAGATTTGCTTTTCACCAGCTTCCGGCTCCCCCTCTGCCCCAAAACGGTGAGCTCCTAGTGAGGCGTCTTGCGCCCCGCACCACAGGGTGGCCGAGCTCTGATCAGCACTCTGGTGACATGTGGTCATGGTTGTTCTCTGGTCAGCCGTCAGAGACTCCCCCACTGCCAGGCCTCCCCTCCTCCCAAGGTAGGACAGACAAGGGCCTGCTGGGAAACCTTCTGCTCATGGCACAGGCTGCCTCCTCCCCTCCTGCCCAGCTCCCACGGGAGGTCTGAGACACACAAGCTGGAAGTGGAAGGCTTCCGGAGTTGGGCCTTGGCTGGCGACCCTACACAGTCCCCAGGATTATGGAGGAGGGGCACGGAGGAGGGGTGTCCCCACCTGGTTCTTGACGTTGTCGATCTCAGCCTGCAGCCTCTGGGTGGCCCGGGTCATCTCCGCAATCTCGTTCCGGGTGTTCCGGAGGTCAGTCCCGTGCCTGCCGGCCTGGGCCTGCAGGGTCTCCAGCTGGAGGAACCACGGGCAGTAGGGCAGGTGGGCAGTAGGGCAGGTGGGCTGTGGTTGCGAGTGACGCACCCTTTCGCCCATCCCAAGGAACATCCTGTTCTGGGTGACACGCTCTGCTGGACAGTTCTGAACAGCAGCCCCCAGACGCCCCACCAGATTGGGGACACTGTTGCCTATGGCCTCTGGCCGGACACTGCTTGGGCTTAGCTGCCCCATCCGCGCCAGGCCTCAGCCAGGGCCCACAGGACCCTCCACGTTCATTCTGGAGAGAGGCTCTCAGACTCCAACAATCTCCACTCTAACTGACGAAGCAGGCTCTCAGAGGGCAGTGGGCAGGAAAGGGGATCAGTCTCCTCCCAGCTAGGACAGGGGCTCAGAGCCGACTTCCCATGATGCCCTCGTGCTAGAGATCCCTGAAAGTGCCAGACCCTCACCTGCTCAGCGATGTGCTCACCAGCACCAGCCCTCTCACAGAGGAGAGGATGGACCAGAGAAGGCACTGGTCTCTGGCCACACAGCAAATCGAGGATAGAATCGGGGCCTGAGCCCGGGCCTTCTTGTGGGCATACCTGTGTCCTCGCCTGGGCCTCTCTGGCCTCTCAGGGAACTTCTGTCCACCTGGCTTTAATCCTGCCTCGGGATCCCCTCCTCCAGGGAACACAACATGGGGACCTGCCTGTTCCCTCAGCACCCTCACTGTCAGAGCTTCCACCTCTACGCTGTGGGTGCCATCCCTGAACCTCCCACTGGTGGAGCCCTGGGACCCAGCATCTCCCTAGTCTCTGCTCTTCCACGTACTAGCTGGGTGGAGTTAGGTCAGTCAAGTAGCCTCTCCATTTGCTCCTCTGTAAATAGACGATGATAACAGAACCTGCTGAAAGAAAGGGCTGCTCTGTGGAGTAAATGTGACTAAAACATTGGGAACGTTGTCTGTAAGTATCTGACGCATTTTAGCTATAATGATTCTTGACCCACGGCGACTTCCTCTGCCTTGTGCTTCCCTCTGGGAGAAGGCCTGGCCTTGCTTCCGTGTTTTCCAGGGCAGGGGTACTCCTGGCCTGAAAGTTCTTGAGACAAAGTGAAGATAAGATAAAGACACTCCCACTGAGGACCCTGCAGGAAGAGAAAGGTAGCCAGCCTCCGGTAACTACACACCTTCGTCTGGTACTGAGCCTCGGCCTCGGCCCGGCTGCGATTGGCCATGTCCTCATACTGGGCCTTGACCTCGGCGATGATGCCGTCCATGTCCAGGGTGCGGCTGTTGTCCATGGACAGCACCACAGACATGTCTGAGATCTGGGACCGCAGCTCTGACAATTCCTGTAGGGACGGGACGGAAGGTTGGGACCTGGGGTGTGACCCATCCGGCCCCTCTGAGATGCCCCCACAGACAAGAGATGAGGGAAGACCAACAAGAGATGGGTGAGCATGAGTGTGGTAGGTCTCAGACAAGAAAGGAAGTCACAGTGCCACAGGGTTGTCAGGGGCTGACGTTTCAGAAGTTGATCAATGGGCCTTGCTTCCAAAGAGCCCCTGGGTGGAGTGTGAGCTGTCTGTCCCACCAAGAACAGCAGGAGAAATGCTGCCCCAACAAACTCACAGAGGCAGACCCTGGACCAGATGACTTGCTGGATGGAACAATGTCTTACCGTCTCATAGATGGCTGTCAGGAATTGGATCTCATCCTTCAGGGCATCCACCTTGGCCTCCATCTCCACTTTGTTCATGTAGGCAGCGTCCACATCCTGGGAGGAGCAGGGTAGGGCAGGAGCAGGGGGATGGGGACACTCCATTCAACACTCAGGACATTTAATAGTGGTGGGGGAAGCCAACACTGTCCAACCTACAGGACCCCAAACCCTTGTGCATCACGACCAGACCTCCCAGCCACCCTGCCTGACCAGCGATAGAAGTCCCCTGAGCTGGGCTTCCATCTGTGTGAGGACAATGTCTCTGCCCGCCCAGGACCAGGGACAGCTCAGCACAGGTATTCCACGGTCTCTGCAGGCCTCGGACCCAGCACTGACTAGCTGCTGAAGCTTTTCAGGGTTTGGACACACTCCTGGCTCCACCACTGATCACTCTCTGACCTGGAAGAAGTCATTTCACTCTGGGAGCCTCGCCTTCTCATCAGGGACAGGGGTGAGTGCAAATGACTGAGAATCCAGGACCCACCTCCTAGAGATGGTCAATCCCAGTTGAAACAGTTAACTGGCCTGATGGGAGATTAGGATATAGGTGGGTACCATTCCACACCTTATCACCACTGAGCCAGATGAGGTCTAGGGTCCTTCCCAGCTGCCCTTTCCAATGGTCAGTCTCTTGAGGGCGGGGCCTCCTGTTATTCAGTGCTGAGCCTCTGAGGGCCCTGCACCAGAGACAGATTGCACTTTGGCGGCAGGGGCTGGATCACCAAGGTGCTCTTTGAGTGCGCATTCAATCAGAATCCCCACGGGCATGTAGTTCGAGTCCCAGTGAAACACTCCTAAGGCCTCCGACCTAGGCTTGCATATCTCCACTGCCAGGGAGCTCACAGTGCCCAGAGCCAGAGCCAGCCTGTTCTACTCCTTCAGCCCACAGTCCGGGCCAGCTGTGGGCCACCTTCCCTGTAGCGGGATGTTCTGACTGAGGGAGAACGCTTCCTTACTTGGAGCTGATGTCTCACCTCTGACCTCCATGCTTACCTCTTAGTTCTACCCCTGGGGCCCAAAGCAAGTGTAGTCACTCCCTAGAGAGAGAGGGCCATAGCCCAGGTGCCCCCTCATGCGTGAGCATGCGGGAACACACACACACACACAACTGGCTGTGAGTTCCAGACCCCAGCCTCCCATGCCCACCACTTCCCTCTCTCAGAGCCCAGGCCAGACTTGGCCGCGGCTCCCCCTGGCTGCCCCATGAGAGGTGTGTGGGGCCCCTGTCCCAAGAGTGCTCAGCCCCAGCCCGTCAGCGCTCTCACCTTCTTCAACACCACAAACTCATTCTCCGCACCCATGCGGCGGTTGATTTCCTCTTCGTACCTGCAAAAGAGGAGGGGGCATGGCGTTGGTGCGGGTTTGCCCCTGTGGCCCTGACTTCCAGAATGAACACCGGTCTGCGCCCCTTGCACGCCTGCCCTCTCTTAATTACATTCCTGAAGCATCTGCTGTTGGGCTCTGAAACCCCCTTCTCTGCCTTTTCTACTGGCCTCTGCTGGGGTCAGGGGGGCTTGGCATAGGGGCGGGAGGGGGTGGCAAGAGCATGTGTGAATGAGAGGACAGAGCCTGCATCTACCGAGGGAGGGGCAGTAAGTCATACTAGCCCCTTCCTGTGGACTGCTTCCTACAGGGCGGGCACTGGGCCGACACCTCGCCTCGCGTGCTCCTCACGGCAGGCCTCTGATCGTGGTTCTGTGAGGGTCAGAGAGGGGTGCCAAGGCCCAGAGAGGCAGAGCTCTTGTCTCTGTAAAGGGCTGAAGCTCACACTTGAGCCCTCGCAGTCTGACCCAGAGCCTGGACCTTAATCCCTAGTGAATGCTTCTGACTGAGGGGTGAGGGAGAGGTCTGGAGGGAGAATCCTTGTTGTGGGTGTCATGAGGTGCTATCAAGTCAGTTCTGGCTCAGAGTGACCTTCTGTACAACAGAACGATTAGACGTCCAGAAAGAGCCTGGTCCCACCTAGATGGTTCCCAGGGGGGCCTCGGCCAAGCAGAGGGTGAAAGGTCCCTGGGTTACCCCAAGTTTATTTGTAGACTCAGAACCACGTATCAGAAGCAAGAACTCAGCAGTGCCCAGAAGTGCTGGGAAGCAGCTGGAGCCACCTTGGCCAGGTGGGCCCTCTGGCACCCAGGCTGGACATGTGGACACCCACACACCCAAAGGCACACTCTACCAGATTCTATAGAACAGAATGGAAACGTCGGCCTGGCCATCTGTCCACCCACACCTGGGCATTGTTTTTGCCAGGCCCAGACCAGTGTGGTTTTCTCCTGCTCCTCCTGTTCCAGCTCCTCTGAGGGCTTTGGGGAGGGAGGGAGAGAAGGAGCGAGGAGGAGAGGGAGAGAGAGAGAGAGAATATGTACTCCTCCATGCACTTATGTATGGTACCTGGGAACAAGGGCTTACTGGTTGCCCCAGGCTTTCCTGCCCAGCACCTGTCTGGTTCCACCTGCTGTGGGATTAATCCTATTGACTCTTGCCGCAGGCCAGCAGGGAGGAGGGGACACCTGGCAGAGTCCTGGTTCATCTCCCCGAGGCTGAGAGGGTGTGTCTGCTTGCTCTTGGTCACACCGCCCCAGGCTGAGAGAGCATAGCATGCCTGTGCCAGGGAGAGGCCCGGCCCAAGCCTCGGGCGGAGTGTCTATGCACCCTGAAAGAGCTCCACAGGCACCTCTGAGGCCTGTGCCCTCAACCTGCCACCCCCTCGATTCCTGCCCTCCTCACAGCTTCCATCCTGGTCCCTGCCCTCAGCTCAGCCTCTGGCACCCCTCCCATTGATCACAAGGACCACACTCTTGGAAGACCACTCTCTCTCCTTTCCTTCCTGCCTTCCTCCAGGACAGTGGCTCTCAGCCTTCCTGATGCTGAGACCCTTTCATACAGTTCCTCATGTTTGGTGACCCCCCCACCCCAACCATAACATTATTTTCATTGCTACTTCATCACTGTACTTTTGCAACTGTGATGAATCGTTCGACACCCACAGGGGTCAAGACCCACAGGTTGAGAACCACTTCTCCAGGGGGCCAACGCCAGCCCATCTCTCTCTCTCTCTCTGACTTGCTATGTGCTCTAATTCCTCACCTGAGCAGAATGGAGTTATTCTAGAATGATCCAGGGGGGGTAGGGGGTGCCAGTCCAGACACACACTTGTCACGGGACTCTTGGCTCTGCACTCTCTTGAGGCCATTGCCATGCACCCAGCGAGGACAGTGGAGGTCAGGGCTGGCTGAGATATCCCACTGGGATTAAGCCAGGAGAAGAGACCCTCAGAGGCACAGAGGTGGGAGCAGCCAAGGGCCAGGGGCCTCTGCCCTGCAAGTCCCACAGGGGGCATTACTTATTTTTGAAGTCGTCCACAGCATCCTGGGTGTTCCTCAGCTGCACCTCCAAGCGGCTCCCGTCGGTCTGCAGCCCCTGGAGCTGCCGCTGCAGGCCGGCAATCTGGGCCTCAAAGATGGCCGGGAGGCGGCTGCCCTTGGCTGAGGTCTGGTCCTGCAGCAGTGCCCACTTGGTTTCCAGCAGTTTGTTCTGCTGCTCCAGAAACCGCACCTACAAAGGAGGCAGAGTGGGGACTCAAGGGAGGGTCTCCCCTGGTTTCCACCGACAGTTCTCCTGACCCCAGCCCACCCCATGCCAGTCTTTGCCCACTCCCCGCCCCTCGCCTCCAGGAAGCCCACCCTGATTCATCCTCTCCTCCAAAACACTAGGTCTCAAGTGTCCTGGAGTGTGACCCAGGGCCAGTCCTGGCCAGTACCCAATGTCGCCTGGTGCCTGGCTCGCAGAGGAGGTGCCCGTGAGCCTCCCCCTCCCTGCTCCCTCCGCTGCTGCCTTCTCTCCGGGCTGCTCGGTTCAGGGGTTCAGGTCTCCATGTCCTGGGGCAGGAGGGCCGCTCTTCCTTCTTCTGAATCCACTCCCTCCTCCCCCTTTCCTCAGAACTGGGGTTGTCCATGTAAGATGAAGGCCCCTCTGCCAGCCATGGGGTCCAGGTGGCCCTTCGAAGCACCCAAGAGGCTGGGAGTGAAAACCCAGGACCTGGGGCCTCCTCGTTGGCAGGGGACCTTGGGCCTGGGAAGCCTGGCTTCAGGGGAGCCTGGCAGGGATGTCCAGTCAGCCCCTCTGTGTCTGAATGGTATAGGGAAGGAAGGGTGGGGAGGGGCCGGGTCAGAGAGGTGCACCAGACAAGAAGAGGGAAGGTCTGGTCAGAGAAGCCCCCCTCCGCCAGGCCTGAGCTCGGCGTCCAGCTTTGCCCACTTTGTCCCCCTCTCCCACACCCACCAGTCAACTGCACTAGGGATGGGACCAATGGGGGGCAGGGGGTGGGGGGCAGGAGCAGGCAGCCAAGAAACTCAAAAGGAACCCAAATCACTGCCACCGAGTCCATTGACTCACAGTGCCCCTAGAGGACTGGGTGGGACTGCCCCTGGGTGTTTCCGAGTCTGGACGAAAGCGGAAAGAGCTGGTTGCCAGCTGCTGACTTTGCAGTTGCCTCCCAAATGCCCCCCAGGGGGCCTTCAGTGACCCCCCCCCCTCCTTGGGCCATCTCCAAGGACAAGGACATGACAGGTGAAACTTCACCTCCAACCCCCAAAGGGAGACTCAAGAACCAGGCAGGTGGAGTGGGCTGGGAGACCTGGAGCATCCCCACCGCACCCCCAAGCCCCACCCACTTCACCCCCCACCTCCCTCCAGCCCTTCCTTTGCTGCAACTCCTACAGCATGAGCAGCAGGGGGGGAAGGAGGGCTTCCATCGGCTGAGAAGGGTGTGCCGCTCCCCACCACAGCTCCACACAGCACCCTCTCAGAAAGGACGCCCAGAAAGAGCACCCAGGTTCTTCCCTCTGAACCTCCTGCCTGGAAGTGGTGACAAAAGTGACCCCCCAAGAACACCAGGGGACCCCAGGCACAGGCAGCCTGGGCAGCCAGACTGCACCCCCACGTTCTGGGAGCAAAGCAAACCCATCACCAGGACGTCCATGCCAACTCATAGCAGCCCTGCAGGGCAGGGCAGAGCTGCCCCATCAGGTTTCCAAGACTGTGTAAACTGTGCGGTACAGACTGGCACATCTTTCCCCCTGAGGGCCAGTGGTCGATGTTAGCAGCCTAGCACCTAACCACTCCGCCTGGAGCCTCCTCACTGGGAAGAGAGCGGTGGGCAGTGGGGCTGCTAGCTGGAGGGGGTGCCCGGGAGCCTGAGGTGGGCAAAGCAGCGTCAGGGTTAGTTAGCTAGTTAGTTAGTTAATTAGTTAGTTAGTTAGTTAGTTAGTGCGTTAGATTGCGCCCGCGCGCGCGCGTGCACACACACACACACCAACTCCATGATACAGAAACAGGAGCCAGGGCAGGTCTCCCAGCACCCAGCTTGGGTGCCCTGGGGTTAGGGCGCTGGCATGACCCCGAGCGCGCAGGAAGGTGCTAGGCTCACCTTGTCTATGAAGGAGGCGAACTTGTTATTGAGAGTCTTGATCTGCTCACGCTCCTCCTGGCGCACCTGCTGGATGGAGGGGTCGATGGCCAAGTTCAGGGGGGCCAGCAGGCCCTGATTGATGGTGACCTCGCGGATGCCGGCGGCCCCTGGGCTCCAGTAGGCGGAGGGTGCGGTCACACGCGGCCGCGAGGCACTCAGGCCGTAGAGGCTGCTGCTGCTGAAGCCTGCGGGGCGCGCCGAGCTCCAGCGCCCCTGGCTGCCGCGGCCCGGGAAGGCGGCGGAGCGCGAGCTGAAGTGGACAGACATAGCGGCTGCGCGGGCTGCACCGGTGGCTGCACCTCCGAACCTCAGGACCTCCCCTCCGGGGAACTGGCCCCTTTTATCCGCGGAGCGGGACGGATCATTTTACACAGGTAGGGGCGGAGCTGGCCGGAGCCATCCTTCCCAGCTGGACGTAACCTCCGCCCCGCCCACCCCTGGGACTGCCCGGCCCGGCGAGGCAGGGGTGCTGGGACAGAGAGGGGCGCGGATGACGCGACCTTCAAGGCGGGGATGCGGGTGGACGCGGGATCTGACACGTCCCTGAGGCCGGATCCAAGGGACCAGGGAATAAGAGAGAAATGGGAGGAAGTGAGACCATCGTTCCAGAAGTCCGCACACACCTGAAACGCATTCCCACCCCTCCAAATCCAGCTCCTCCTCCAATGACCAGCAGCTCAGTCTTTGACTAGTCTGACCCTGCACGTGCTGGTCTAGGGGGCTTGAACCTGCCCACTCGCTGCCGCCACCACCACCACCCCCACACACACACACACCCTCCCCACCTAGTATGTATCTGTAGACCATCCTCTGAACCAAACGCACTGACATCCCGTCGATGCCAACTCATAGCAAGCCTATAGGACAGGGCAGACCTGCCCCTATGCGTTTCCCAGGCTGTAACTCGTGATTGGAGGAAAAGGCCCGTTCTTTCTCCCACAGAGCAGCTGGTGATTCGAACTGCTGACCTTGCCAATGCTTAACCACTACACCACCAGGGCTCCTAAAGTTCCCAAATCTATTTGGCTGGCCACACCCACTTCAGGGGAAAAAAAGATTACTCAACACCCCTCTGACAATTAAAACCTTTTCTACCTACCATAGCTGGCAACACAGGAAGGTGGAGGTGTCCACTTTTGCAGCCCCTTGGGTCATCCAGTGCCCGTCAGGAGTCAGTATTGGCCACTTTGGGAAACACTCTGAAAAAGGGGGATACCTTGGTGTACTGGTGAGCTATTCTGTGTGTACATAGCCACTAGGCCATTGCGTTTTGCATAGGCACATGCATGTGTCTGTCTGAGAGCATGTCCTGGGACGAGGGTCTCTGGCTAGGGAATCAACCTCATGTGCATGCACATCTGTGTGCTGCCCTGGAAACTTCTGGTGGATTCTGACACATAGTGACCTCACGTGTGACACTATACGGTTGTTCCACGGAGCTTCCTTGGCTGGAATCGCCAGGCGTTGGTCCTCCACACCACTGGGGGCTTCACACCCTGCACAACCCCCACCTTTAAGAGAGTAGCCCATCACAGACCACTGGGCCCACCTCATGCTTGTATTTGTTCTCAAACGCTCTCCCCATCCCCCATGTCTGCCATTTTCCTGTAAGAACCTCCCCCACCTAACACCAGCCCAAACAATTCCCAGCGGTTTCAAACCCCGTCCAGGAGCGGGGTAAACATGGTTCTAGAACAGAACACCAGGAACTGAGTCACTGTTGAGTGCTGGCCTCAATCCCTGGGAGCCTGGACCCCCCCAGGCCACCCCTACTCCACCACCCTGCCTGGGCCCTGACTTCTCAGAGGGACCCTGCTCAGCAGAGGAGCCTTTGAGAAAGACTGCTGACTGGCTGGTCACCCCGAGCCAGTGATGGGTTTCAAATAATTTAGTAACCAGTTTGTTGCCCGATGGACCATTTTAAGTCTTTTTTAAAAACAAAAACTGAAAGGTATTTTATTATTTCAATAGGCTATCAGAACACCGACTGCTGTTGTACAGATGAACATTTAAAAAAGTGATTTCCACATTGGGCAGCTGCCCAGTAGCCCACCTTAGAGACAACCCGGGTTATCAGTGCCACTTTAACAACCAGTTCACCAAGCTCAACGAAAAAGTAGGTACCAGTTCTGCCAAACCGGGGTGAATACACTATGTCTCCCCACTGCCTTTAGCTCCCTGTCAGCCCTAGCTATCACCTCAGACCAAGCCCGTGGGGAGCCCTGGGTGGAGAAGGGTGGGGTTGGAATGGCCTTCCCGGTTTGCCATTTCAGTTAGGCCAGAGATGACTTCCAGGGAGGCCAACCGATGGCAGCCCCTTCTTAGGGGACTTGGGAAGGCTCCCCACCCTTGGTTGGTTTGGAGGCAGGGCTGCAGAGGGATTCCCCAAGGAGACAGGAGAGAGAGAGAAAGAGGAGAGGAGAGGAGAGAAGAGGAGGGACCATCTCAAATCCTCAGTTAGAGCTTGAAAATCACACATATTTCCTGGTCCTGTGATATTTAGCTTCCTCACCAGCCTCCCACACCCCTACTCCCAGTGGACAAAGAAGACCGCTCCTTTAATTTACACACACACTGGAATGCACTGCTCCGTCCTCACCCCTCAGGACACTCCTCAGGGTGCTTTTCCACTCCCTCACCCCACTGCTGGCCCCTCACACCCCCTCACACCCTCAACCCTCCCACATAACCTGCTCTAGGAGGAGGCTCCACCCCACCCAGGCCAGGAATTCCTGCCTTGCTCTGCTCCCCTAGAGCCTGACGGGAGAAACCGTGGGCAGGGTACCTGCTTCGTGACTGCACACACCTCCCTGTGCCACATCAGTGGGCCTGCCACTTACCTACCACCGGACACCACAGAATGTGTAGAGGGAGCTGAGAGGTGGCCGCAGAGATAAAGTCTGCTTCCCCCTCCCTGGGAGCCACATGTTCCCATTCATGAACCTGCCTCTATCTACCCTCAGGACCACCCTCCCCCCAACACACACACACACACACACACACACACACACACACACACACACACCTTATCCCTGGGTGCCAGGTAGTGCCCGGAAACACCTGCTGCTTCTGAGAGGTTCCCAGGAAACTGTCAACACTGACCACCAAGAATCAAATCTCTGCCCCTCACGAGTTGTGTGGTCCAGTGACTCATCCAAACTCAGCTCCCTCCCCCTGCCCAGGCCTCTGGCAGGCCCCCTAGAAGCCATGTTTTGGGATTTGGGGTAGAATCTTGAGACAAAGTGATCCCATGGAAGGTTGCCAGTTCTAACCCATCCAGAAGCACCTTGGAAGTAAGGCCTGGTGATCTGCTTCTGGAAGGTCTCATCCTTGAAGCCCTAGGAAGCAGCTCTGCTCTGTACACGTGCCCCCC